TTTCGGTGGCCAGATGAAAACTATATACGACAAGGTTGAGACCATCTGCTCTCAGTTTCTCAGTTGAGAGCTGACTTCGGAGTACTGAGATAATCGTATCTGTGAGAGCTTCGTCTTTTTAGATGAGTTTTGCATTGCGTTGTGTTTAGCGTTCTTAGTAGTTTGAAGTGTAACTACTTCTTGTGCTTTGTGTTAAGAAGAGCTGTACCAGTGCTTTTGTGAAAAGAATTGTAAAATTATTTTTTGGGGGAAAGTAAATTTTATCAAGCTGTCATCGGTTCTGTTTGCATTCAATCCAATACGACAAATACGCGCGCAACAATATTTATATCCACAAAGGTTATATAGTGGTGTTTTGTTTTTCAACCTGTCTCCGTACCAGGATGACTGTTGATATGCGGAACGTTGTTTGCGTATGTTACTATAGGAATAGATTTAATTTATTTCTGAGTCCAGTCGAAAATCATAAAACATCTTAGAAATAAAATATATCATCGTAAATCAAAACGTGTTTGTGTTTATCAGGAAGCATTTAGTACTGATTCGTAGAGGAATTCTTTAAATTTACCATCTTTGCTTTTTCATTTGCTTTCATTCGTATGAAATCGTTGAGTTTGTTAATTAGAAATTCTTTAATGTTTTACAAAATATGAAATAGATGATAAAAAATGTTCGAAATTCAAAATTCGCGCTTCCAGGAGCTCATGTTCGGGTGGAAGATTACGTTATTCAAAATTTGATGGCTCTAAGGTATCGTTGTTTTCTCATAGTGCTAGAATATGCATACATTCATGCAGATTCTTCATTATTTAATTTCTTTAAATATAATATAGGGCGATAATATTTCGTGGCAACAATTTAAAAAGTGAATCGCTGTTTATAATGAAACGCCACAAAATGCCGTTTTGAGACCAATCGCCCTTCTGGGCTACCGCCCCTTTGGGGTAATAAAGATAATTAGCTATAAAGTCATTTATAAATGAAAATGTAAGTGATTTATAATTTTTATGTATGAATCTGAAGAACTAAAATATTAAGTAAAAAAGTACAGAAAATCACAGCAAATTCGTTTTTGGGCGATATACAAGCACTTCTTCTCAGCCGATATCTAATGCACGGTATGAGAAAAGTTTTGTAAAATATATTAATAGCTCAAGTGCTTATAAAATTATTGACATCACATATTTTAAAGCCTTGTTCATTACTTTTAAACAGCCAGGCTTGCTCTAAAAATATGCAAAGTATTTTTATAATTTGAAAAAGAAAAATCTGAGAATTTTATGCCCAGAAAAAAAAAAGCAATACCCTTCAAAACTTCCAATTTGCAAAGATCTTATTAGTGCCGTAATCGGTTACAGAGGCTGTTCACACATTTTTATGCCCAGAAAAAAAAAAGCAATACCCTTCAAAACTTCCAATTTGCAAAGATCTTATTAGTGCCGTAATCGGTTACAGAGGCTGTTCACACATTTTTATGCCCAAAAAAAAAAGCAATACCCTTCAAAACTTCCAATTTGCAAAGATCTTATTAGTGCCGTAATCGGTTACAGAGGCTGTTCACACATTTTTATGCCCAGAAAAAAAAAAGCAATACCCTTCAAAACTTCCAATTTGCAAAGATCTTATTAGTGCCGTAATCGGTTACAGAGGCTGTTCACACATTTTTATGCCCAGAAAAAAAAAGCCATACCCTTCAAAACTTCCAATTTGCAAAGATCTTATTAGTGCCGTAATCGGTTACAGAGGCTGTTCACACACTTTTTTATGCCCAGAAAAAAAAAAGCAATACCCTTCAAAACTTCCAATTTGCAAAGATCTTATTAGTGCCGTAATCGGTTACAGAGGCTGTTCACACATTTTTATGCCCAAAAAAAAAAGCAATACCCTTCAAAACTTCCAATTTGCAAAGATCTTATTAGTGCCGTAATCGGTTACAGAGGCTGTTCACACATTTTTATGCCCAGAAAAAAAAAAGCAATACCCTTCAAACTTCCAATTTGCAAAGATCTTATTAGTGCCGTAATCGGTTACAGAGGCTGTTCACACATTTTTATGCCCAGAAAAAAAAAAGCAATACCCTTCAAAAACTTCCAATTTGCAAAGATCTTATTAGTGCCGTAATCGGTTACAGAGGCTGTTCACAACATTTTTATGCCCAGAAAAAAAAAAGCAATACCCTTCAAAACTTCCAATTTGCAAAGATCTTATTAGTGCCGTAATCGGTTACAGAGGCTGTTCACACATTTTTATGCCCAGAAAAAAAAAAGCAATACCCTTCAAAAACTTCCAATTTGCAAAGATCTTATTAGTGCCGTAATCGGTTACAGAGGCTGTTCACACATTTTTATGCCCAGAAAAAAAAAAAAGCAATACCCTTCAAAACTTCCAATTTGCAAAGATCTTATTAGTGCCGTAATCGGTTACAGAGGCTGTTCACACATTTTTATGCCCAGAAAAAAAAAAGCAATACCCTTCAAAACTTCCAATTTGCAAAGATCTTATTAGTGCCGTAATCGGTTACAGAGGCTGTTCACACATTTTTATGCCCAGAAAAAAAAAAGCAATACCCTTCAAAACTTCCAATTTGCAAAGATCTTATTAGTGCCGTAATCGGTTACAGAGGCTGTTCACACATTTTTATGCCCAGAAAAAAAAAAGCAATACCCTTCAAAACTTCCAATTTGCAAAGATCTTATTAGTGCCGTAATCGGTTACAGAGGCTGTTCACACATTTTTATGCCCAGAAAAAAAAAAGCAATACCTTCAAAACTTCCATTTGCAAAGATCTTATTAGTGCCGTAATCGGTTACAGAGGCTGTTCACACATTTTATGCCCAGAAAAAAAAAAGCAATACCCTTCAAAACTTCCAATTTGCAAAGATCTTATTAGTGCCGTAATCGGTTACAGAGGTGTTCACACATTTTTTTATGCCCAGAAAAAAAAAAAAAGCAATACCCTTCAAAACTTCCAATTTGCAAAGATCTTATTAGTGCCGTAATCGGTTACTACTGTTCACACATTTTTTAGACGATGTATATTGTATTCGCAAAAACTAAATTACATAAAATTCTTGTGTTATAAATGTTCTATTTGACATCCCTTATTCTGAACTATCTTTCGACACCGCAATTTCCAGGATAATAATGCCTTTTGAAGTGGTAGAAGAGGTATGCTATCCCATTCCTCCTGAACAGCTTTCCAGAGTCCTGTTAGGGTTTTGAGACAACGTTTGGATAATGCACTTTTTAAAAGTCCGAAAGCACAAAACTCCATAGGTGACACATCGAGAGATTTAGTTGGGATATCAGTGAAGAGTATGGCCTTGATACCAGTTTTTTGTTCCATTTCGTTTAGGAAATTTAGAGTGGATTTTGATGTGTGACTGCTAGCTTTGTCCTGATGGAGTCTCACAGATTGATGGTACTGTGGGTAAAGCGATGGTATTTCATTCAGAAAAATTGGCGATAGAATATGTTCCTGATAGTATTTGGAGTTAATCTTGACATTTCTTTGCACTCTCTTTATTTTTAACTTGCCATTATAAGAAAAACCAGCAACAATCAGGAATCCCTTAGAAAAACTTTCTTTCGATTCTTTGAACCGTGTACTTAAATTTTTTCTCCCCTTTTATGATAATAAATGGCTCTTTTTTTGTTACAATCATTTAAATACACCCATGCTTCATCTATTGGGACGATTGTTTTCCATTTTTCTTTGGATAAGTGTTTCTCATATAGAATTCTGCAGCGTGTCCTGCGTGGAACGATATGCTTTGGAAGAAGACGATGCACATTACGTTTTTTCGCTTTCCTTAAGATTTAAATCAACGTTTATCATTTTGTTTACAGTGTACACCAAGCATTTTAATGATTTTGAAACTGTCCTTTGACTAGGGGGATTTTCTTTTAACATTAAACAACGTACCTTTGCAATAGTCGAAAGATGTCCGTTTTTTCCTTGGATACTTGTTTGGAATTTTTGTCCCACTTGAGGCTCCAATTTGACGTTTGTTTCCTTTCTTGTTGATGATATTACCTGTCGACGCTTTAGATATATCATAAAACCATGACTCTCACATCGTTTTTGGATAACGGAGTATGCATATTTCTCTTCGGAAAGAGCTTAAATGTAGCCTACGAACCACTGCTTCGTTAAATTCGCCATTTTGAATAAAAACAAAACTTTCAAGGCCACAGACGATAATTTTGACTTTTAAAAAACTAGTACAATTGCAATTACTTCTTTTGCAGCAAACGATTTTGTATTACCGCTTGCCAAAATCGTGTAAAAAATCTGCGAACAGCCTCTGTATAACAGAGTAAAATAACGAAATCTAGAATAATATTTAGTAAAAATGGAAGACTACTTAAAGATTTTTATGTTAGGAAGATCTTACGTATGATTCCATGAAATTAATAGAATACAGTTTGGTCCCAAATTTTAACTAACATTTTCCTACGCTTCAGACTTTTGCCTATGCTCTTTCCTATGCTTCTGACTTTAAGATAAAAATGTTAAAAGTATTTTTGATTTATGAATGCATTACGATTGATTGCTTTGGTAGTGTAATGAAATATAGGAATTTTCAGAGACGATGAGAATTTCATTGCTAAAACTACACTTTTGATTTCGGGTATCATTTACAATAATTTTAAATCACTTAAGAAAATAATAAACCAACTAGATCAAATTTCTCACATGTTTTGAATGCTTTTAATTTGGATGTTAGAGACCAAATGCTGATATCTTGAATTTCATTAAATGGAATTATTATTAAATGGAACTATCATCTGTTATAATTATTCATTTGACATGATGTGATAAAGATTCGATTCAGGTACTTATTATTTTCATGTGCCAGCAGTATTAAACAATTAATTAAAAAGTTTAATTTAAAGGTCAATAAACATTTGCCGTCAGTCTGATTTTTGTTATCATCACAGATGAATACTATTTAACCTTCATGGTTTAAAACTTTAAGTTTTCTTATTTTTTACAGGGTTGGAGATCCAAAATGACGTTCTTACCCATGTTCATGGAGGGGCTGACGCCCGAAATGGTGCGAAGGGCAGAAGAAGAATTAGGGGAGACACCAGAGGTCAGGATTCAAGCACTTAAAGATTTGAGGCGTCTCATTAACGGTTGGTTATTTTTAACTTATTTGCCTTTTGAGCATGCTGATTATTATAATATTTAGACAAAAATAACTGGAGGACTCTATATTATTCAAATCTGTGCTCGTTTGTGTGTTTGTTTGTTTGTGACATCATCTCCTCCGGAACGGCGGAGAGTTGAGTTTCGAGAGATGTATTCTCGGATTCTAAGAATTTATGAGAAGCTATTTCGATCATTCTTGATCACCCGAGATATTAATTTAAAAATCTGAAAACGCTAATTTTCGCACTCATTTTTCCGAGTGGCAACAGTCTCGCGTGCTGGAAATAAAAACCTGCTTTATTTCAAAAAGTGTTGCCACAGCTCGTTTCAAATCGTAGAGTTTATTAATAAAAAATTTGTAAGTGTTACAAAATACGAAACTATTCGGTTAATACGGTACTATTCGGTTTCGAGGGCAGTAAAAAATCGCCAAACTATTGTTGATGCCAATGCTGCCAAAAATAATTGCGGCAACCCTAATAATTGCGGCAAGAAAGGAAGTATAATAGTAAATAACTATCTAAGATTGATGTTTTAATTTAGAGGAAAGGTTAATTTCATATAATACTTTTTTATTATTATAATTTATATGAAAAAGGCTAAACATGACTGAATGGAAGCATAAGAGTAAATAACTATTTCAGATCATTATTATAATTTATATAAAAATTCCAGACATAACTGAATGGATGCTTGCATCGCTATTTCGCTCCCGACTTATCGCTAAAGCATAATTTCATCTCGTTGGTTGTTCAAACGTAATTTTCTGTAATGAATGATGCCTTTTCTTTGAAAATATTCAGAATCGGAATTCAGAAGTGCAGAATCGCTCACTTATTTATTATATTATTATTATATTATTTGTTTGCCGCTTTTTACAAGGGTAAAAACAATTGGATTTTTGTCAAGTTTTATTTTACTTTTTAATGTAAAAATAGGCCGATGTGTACATAGATAAAGTCAAGGGGGTGCGCAGTGCCATTTTTTGTGCAATTCTAGGAATTTTTTTTAAGTGAAAATAGGTCGATGTGCGCATGGATACCGAGTATGTTCAATTCTTAAAAACGCGTCAAGCAGTGGGTGATTCTGCACTTTACCCAAAATTCTATTGCCAACTTTTCATCATGGGCAATTCCCAAATTGTTAAATCCATAGGATATCAAAAAAGGATTTAAAATCAAAAAAGGATTTAAAAATTAAACTAGTATTTCAATGGCGTCTTAAGAAAAATAGAACTATATAAACTTACGCAATCTGAAATCAGCGCGTACGTTAGATTTGGCGCGCTGTTAAATGGGCGCGTTTGCTAGATTTGGCGCTTTTGCGCATACATTTTCGCTGCAATTTTTTTACGGCCCTCAAAACAGAAGAGTACCAAATAAAAATATCATTGCCAAACATTAAATATATTATTATTACATTCTGACGTTAAAGAAAGCACGAGATTGCATGTGACGTCATTGTATGTCGAAATTTTCCGTTAATGTCAGCATTTTAAATAAATAGCTGCTATTGGCAACTTTTTTGTTTCAGATTTTAAGATAACTAGCACGATACATTACTGCTACGTTGATTCTGTTATTGATATTGAGAAAAAGTTGTTATATTACATTAAAGTTACAATCACTATGTCATCCCGTATATTTATTAAACTGAAGTGTCAATTTTTTTTGTTTCCTGCTTTGGCAACAAAAAAAATTATTTATGAATTGGTTGTTGCTTCGGAAGAATGAATTGATTTCATTCATATTGAAATGCTTTTATACATTTTCTTTTCAGGCGTACGTAGAAATTTTGCTTTCGCCTTAGCCCGTTCATCTGGCGGGCTTGCACACTAGTTTCATTCACAAAAGCAGTGAGGAAGGTTAGTTAATTACAAAACGTACTGAAATAGAAGAATAGAATTGTACAAAACCTTTTTACTATCAATAAATTGAAAAATATTCTCAAGCAAACCAATTTTCCCAAAATCAGTCAAACTTATGTAACAATTGAACAACTAAAGACTTAAGGTTCATTGCTCAGAAAACAACTCGCGTTGAACATAAAATAAGTTCTGAAATTTTGTCTTGAGGTGTTTAAGCGAGAGGAAGTTGATTCTTATCTTAGGTATTTCTTCCCAGGTGAAACGAAGATAAGAGCCAGTTCCCCTAGAAAATTCTGCACGAAGATCCTCCCTTCCGTTTAGGCAGATAGCCCTCGACTCGAGTTCTTTACCGTATTTAAATAAACTAAATTAAACCTAGGTGTTTCTTCCGCAGGGTAAATAGAAAAAAGTCTTGATCAGTATGCAATATTTTTAGTCAAAAGTGATAGTACGTGAGATGTCCCAGAAAAAAAAAAAAAAAAAAAAAAAAAATACTATGGAGGAATACTTAAAGAAATTTTATAGCAAAAATTTTTCAAGAAATCACTCGATAATTTAGCCGCACAGGGTGAACTGTGCAATGCTGGAAATGTGATAGTCCTTTTATAAAAGGTCCTTGAACTTTTGCTGTAGTTTTCAACCACAAGCGTTTTAATCTTTCTTGGATTTTTAGAGATTGTTCATTTTCTGTCACTAGAATTGTTACTGCTTTCATTTTCTCTCTGTTTACTACTGTTTTGGATAGTAATTTTCTCCGACTTTTCAATTCTTTGAAGCTGAGTATCCACATTGGCTTTCTTAATAAGCTCAGTAATATCAGACAGAAGATCCACCTCTTCCGAAGTTGCCAGCAATTAATTTGTAATTATTCGCCGAAGCATTAAACTAAACCAAAACATATTGGCTCTTAAAACAGTGGGACATGTGTTAGATCATTCTGGACATCATACACATTTTCTTCAAAGTCTATTCTAACAGAAGATCGATTTTTTTTCTTAATTTAATATTAAAATTATATATTTAAAAAGCATTACTGATTTCAAAATGTATTGAATAATTTTCGTGTCATTTTCCTCTTATATTTATATTATGTGATTTCTTCTATACTGCGTGACACAGCTTTATATCAGTAAACAATTAATTATCAATTTAACAATATTACTAATTTTTTCATAAATGGGATCTTCTTTATGCTGATTCATTATGCCCGTGCATATTCAGCTGTCGACGACCAGTCGACGCCTTGATTATCATTGACACCTTTTAAAATTTTCTGGAACCCAAGGGGATCAACACCGACCCCCTTGGGAAGCCCTGATTTAATCCATGAGCAATTTCTCAGTTATAACAAGTATTTCTTTTCTGAAGATTGCCCACTAGCGGCCGAGCGGTAAAGTTTCTGGACACTGATAGTTCGGTCCCGGCTCCACTTCCGGCGAACAGCAGGGTTCCATGCGCGTTTTCGTGGTTTCGCCATTGTAAAGTGCCCACGAGCTAGTTTCCCTTAGAAAGTTCTCCCCTTAAGCAGATAGCCCTCGATTTCTTCGCCATAACTAAATTAACCAACCCAAACCAAACTTTTCGGAAATAAACTCTGCTTAGTGTTGTTATGTCAATTTTTTAAGCAATTAGTTTTCTTCTTAAGGTAAAAATCTTAGCTGCATTCAGTTAGTTTATTAACTAGTAGAGTTAAATTAAAAAATAATTTTATCACTGAATTTTTTCGGGGAGGAAGACTGAACTTTATGTTTTATTTTACGAAAATAAAAATTAAATGGTAAAGTTTTGTTGAAATATAATCCAATGAATTATAAAAAGTCCCATACTATTGTAACTGCATATTAATTAACAATTCCTGGAGACAGTTACCAACACACGCATGAATATCGTAGTTCAGGTCCTGGTACTACTATTGGTTTCAAGGATGACAGAAAGGACCAAACGGCTCTGGCCAGATTGACTTCAGGCCATTTAAGGACCCTCAGATATTCCCGTAATCCTAAAACCTTTCCCACTTGCGCCATATGTAAAAACCATGAGGCTACCGAGCAACATCTGCTTAACTATGTTACTTGGTGGAGATCTGCTGAAGAGACCTAATTCCGTGTTGGAAGTTATGAAGGTGAATAAACTTATGGACCTGAACTAATTCAGATTAGAGGGAAGAAGAAGATAGAAGAAGAAGAAGAGGAATTACTAAGAAGAAGATATTTGGCTTTCTGAAAAAAAAATTAAAACTTAGTTAATCAGATTACTGAAAAATTGGAATGCTCTGCAGAACTAGTTAGTCCGGAGATTTGGAATTTCATTGTACAAGTAACAAAGGTTTAATGCTAATGTATATTTCATCATGGTACAGATAGAAAGTCTCCACTACGTCGCCGAGCGTGTTGGTGGCTCGGCGGAGTCAGAGTAACTACTGATGATAACAACAGTAAAAAGACCTTAACCGCCATAGAAATGAGTTAGTGGCGAGCCAAGTTCATCTAAGTTAAGTGACACACGAAATACATCACGTTCCTTCTTATAAATCCCCTTATCTGTAGAAATGTTGCAATTTCAAAGCTACCAAACATTAGTTTAACATACTGGAAGGTCACGTTTCTGTGTTCTGAAGAAATGTGACCTTGAGTAGAGCATGCGAAGAATAAATATCTGTTTTAAAGGTCAATAAACATTTGCCGTCAGTCTGATTTTTGTTATCATCCGCTTTTCCAAAATGGCGGTTATTTTTTGGCAAGAAAGTTTATATTTTATGTTAAAGCCAACAGCCACGGATTATATATCGAGAAGATATCGCAAATGCTTTGAAATCTTGCATTTGTTTTTGAAAAGATCGCTGTTTAACATGACGATAAGGACAGGGTGTCATATTTCTAAATTTCATTTACAGGGAAAAAAAATTTAAAAGTTTATAAGAATATAAAGTGGTCTAAAATATAAAGTCCCATATTAATTAAGTATATATCCCATATTAAGTATAATATTTCTCAAACTATTTGACGATTTTCTATGCTAATATTTGAAGAGTAAAATAAACAGAGAAAGGTACCGCGCAAAATCTATTTTGAGTCTGTTTCTGAATATGCAGAACAGCTTTCTGTTACCCGATATAAAATATTTGAATGGTAATCGGGCAACCGGAAATGTCAGGTATTTAGCCGACGTAAACGGGTCTAGGTAGTAGTCGGATAATCCGAAAAATCGTATCAAAAATCCTTTAATACATGTTTGGTATATTAAATCCAGATACCAATATTGCACACTTCAACAACGGTTAGATGTTTTCTCTTTTAATGCCTGTAAAGGTAAAATAATTTTATCTAAAAATAGAGTTCTGTATATTGTGATGCATGCCACTCTATTAAAATTGTACAATACAGAACAAGTTCGTTGCGACAGAAAATCTCCAACTAGACTAAAACAGAAAAGATTAAGCTAATTTTACACAATTAAAAACAAAAACAAAAACAAAAAAAAGTGAAAAATGGTAATAAAATGGTATGAATGGTAGCTTTTTATATGACATGTGAAATGTTGGAATGGAATGCTATGATCTTGACAACAAAAGAACAGAAGAACTAACTATTCTGTACTTGAAAGTAGGTCAAACATTGAAAGAAAACATACAGTAAATACGTTTGACATAAGAAAGATGATTTCTAGTGTGAATTAGTATGCGGATAATTGAGATCTTATTATTTTCATTAGTAGAAATTATAAAAATTAGTTTTTTACATCATAAACTTAGTACAGACGATTATTCATTAAAAGTAGCTATGTCCAATTCTGTTGCTTAAAACTCAAACTTTGTTATGCCCAATTTAATATAAAAAATAAATTTTTAAAGCGATAAGGCTATTACTGGAACGTTTGCCTTCGATCGTTAAGTCATCGTTCACCCCAGTTATGAACGTAATATCAACTTCCTCCAGTAGCACAGAAGAATACCCACAAGTGGGCTCATGGATAAGACCGCGGACCACTGGTAATTCGATATGGCTCAAATTCCAGCAAACAGGCTGAAGTTAAAAATATTTTGCAGTGTTTCTCAAGTCTGAGGTTAATATGAGCCAGTTTCCATTAGAATATTCTTCACAAAGGCATTCCTCTATTAAACATATAATATGTAACGTGTATAGGATCCAGTTTTCCTTAGAAATTCCTCCACGAAGGTATCCTGCCATTTAGGCAGATAGGCTTCGTGTGCTTTGCCATAATCAACTAAACCAAACCTATTAAACATATAGCTTTCGTAATTCAAAAAATATATACCATAGTTATCATGGCATTTTTGCGACCAATGAATTATTATCATATAAAATTGTTTGTGTAGCAAACTGAATTAGATTTTAACCTCTGCCTGGGAAGATCCTCTCCTTCGAAATAGATTTCCTTGTAGGTTTATGTTTCTTCAGTGAGAAAAAAAGAAGTTGCAAAATGACTTGTTTTGATCATTACAAATAACTTATACGTATATACGGAAAGGTTTAAACAACCTTTTTGATTAAACAGAAATCAGAACATAAAAGCACTTTCTTCTGCTAATAATATGAACCACAGTTCACGGTGAATGTAACTAAACACAACGATGGAATTTAAGTTAAAAGGTGGAATAGCAGTCAAAGGCTACACGATTTCAGTAATACTCGAAACTGGCTCTGAAATTCTAACCGGAGTGTTGAAATCAAGGTGCCCACAGCGGTATAATGCAAAGCCGTATCATTACAACTATCATTGCTGGCAGGAACTAAACGTAGAGTGTACGAGTAGGACAAAAACAAGCTCTATTTTAAATTCCAAAATCATCAATATAAATACTAGCTAACGCATTTGCATTCTTGGGAGAAAAGCGGTAAGGAGAAGCTATAGTAAAGATCCAAATCATAATAATTGGTTAGTTTAAATACCGTATATTCCAGCTTATAACGCACACTTTCAGTACAAAAAATAAGATCAAAATTTACGGGTTACGTCTTATACGCCGGGTATAAAAATTATAGATTTAAAAATAAGGAATGGCCATTAAAAATTAAATTTTTATAAGAACTTGAATGCTGTTTATTGAACACAAATGACATACCTTATGAACTTAAAAATTTTTGTTATCGGATGACAAGAAAAGTTTGTCATGTTCGTCTTCCGTTATATCTTTAGACACACCATTGAATTCTGTTTCATCTCTGTCATCATTGTTACTTTCTTAATCCATAAATAAATAATCATCACCCATGCCCTTTTTCACCTCCTCCAAACATCCTTGCTACAGCACGTTTCAACTCAGTACTGTGTCGTTTCGTCTGGGATAAGACATATTCACTACTAAAAGAAACGCTAGATCAACTGTATTTCGACCAAAGCAAACGCAATTTACTAAAACCTTCGATTTTCACTTAAAAATCAGGGCTTCAAATGACTACAGAAAGAGGAAACATAACTTCTAGTTCCACGAATTCATTCAGGTTGGAAGTACATTCTCACTCCAAATTATATCCCCTTCTTCTCGAAATCCTACAGCAGCATTCTTCTGAACACTTGCATTGAATGCAATCCAACCTCTTTGCAGGAATATTTAATCCCTCAAGTATTTAATTCATACACATATTGTTCCCCTTATCGCTTGTCAATTCGGTATATCGTTGTTCAAAAGGCTAGGACAAATCCTCGAATAAAGGACCTCAAAAGATAAGAGCATTACACTTGTATCTTTTAGGTTGTTTCGTAAAGAACTGGATGCGTTATGCGGCGAATATACCTAAAAATTAAAAAATATAGCTAGAAATTATAGCAGATGCGCGTTGTACGCTGAAAAATATGGTAATAACCCTACAATATATTTCAGGAAGTGGCCTGCGAATTTGGCAGTATGGGTACTATAGCTATTTTTCGTGTAATGCAGCAAGACGGTCCCTTTGCTCCATTTTGTCCTCTTGCAACTATGGTATAATACACTTACAGTATATCAACTGTGATTACCAACTGTAAGTGTATGTGTAGTCTCTTGCGGATTCCCCCAGCAGCTCGTGACATTAGGAAATTAAACATTTTTTGGCACTTTTCCTAGAGAGCTATATGAAATACATATATCCGAGACCTGTGTTGATAACACTCGGCTGTTATTAGTTGCAAATCATAAATTTAGAACCTGAATCTAGCATAACATAAATCCAAATATATTTCTCAAACATTTGTAAAGATAAGATGTAAGGTAAAATTAAATGGAATGTTACACTCATTATTATTTGCTTATACTTCAGGTAATTTAAAATTCAGCATTCCGTTCTCAGTTTTAATATAATCCCGGGTTCACTTTAAAGCTCAGTTTTAACATGCATTATTTTTTAACAATGTGTTGTCATTTAAACATTATTTGCTTTCAGTCGATGAAACTAACGCTTGCCTGAAATGGCAACTTGGGTTTCGTTTGAGATGAACGGGTTTATTGCATGGGTTTGTTGTGTGTGAAACGGCAAATAGGATGAGTTATAACAAATCAGAGATTAAAATTCTTTGTTTAAAATGTAAATTGCTTTAAGGCGCGAACTTTGCTTAAAGTAACTTTGAATTTGGAAAAGTTTCAACACCGTTCTCAGAATTTTTTACTTCCTTTTACGAAGTAAAGAAAGTATTAATCGCGAAAAATTACGAGTGTCATATTTTAAAGAAATTATTCCTTCTGACCGCTCTGGAATCCATTTGAAAGATTTGAGTGACGTCTGTACCTAAGGGTAGAATAAAAGACTCTTTTTCCCCAAAACGGATTGTAATATGATTATAAAATGGATTCAGCAGAAATATTTTTTCGTAACGTCTTTACGTATATATGTATTTCGCATAACTAAAAAACGAGTAGCCGTAAAACGTTAAAATTTTGTATATGGAACTGGTATAACATGTAGTAGTGCGCCTCCCCTTTTTCTTTGCAAACGGCCGCACTAAACTTATATCTATAAATTCAATAGAATTACAACTACTTTTTTGAACGGAGATCATGTATTAAATGGTCTACTATATACAATATGTATATGCAGTAGATCATTTAATATATGATCTCCTTTGGAAAAGTAGTTAGAATTCTATTGAAATGAATTTACTCATTAACATACTTAAAATAGAATTATCAAAAAGGTGAAAATGAAACCAGTAAATTAACTACTTATCGTCACTATCGTCATATCGTTATATAGTATATATTCATACATGTTCGCACTCTGTTACTCGATATGGTGAACTCAGTTCTTTTTATTCTTATATGTTGGTAAATTGTGCATTTTATGTTTTAAAAATTGTTGAATAATATTGTTTTTACGTTCCTGTTAAAGATTTTATGCCTTTAGTTAATCTGCACGCAACAGTTGCAGAATTATCAACAGTTTAAACGTCGCTTGGCCTAACATGGCGACCATTTGTTTGCATTTAAAATTCGTAGCAGAATAGTGAATTTAAGTCATTTAATGCACCAACTTCAGTGTCTTTTTGCACAGTGGGACGGAAAGTCAATTTCAATTTTATGCTCGGAAAATTTGGTCTTCCTGCCCGTTAGTCGAATTACTTCTTTCTGCATAGAAACTTTCATTTCAATTGTAAAAATTGTTTATGGACTGTTTCTAACTTTTTTTTTAAAGGTTTTTTTTCTATATGTTACAGTTTTTAATGAAGATTCTTTGAGTTGCGTATTTTTGCTTGTCGCGAAATGAGAAATAACATGAAATTCCAGGAAATAAGTTTAAATGAACTATAACAAAAAATATGTATGTTTCAATAGGCCGACAAGGAAGTTCTGTGGTGTCCACATGAGATATTTTTTAATAACATTTCTAATATGAAATACCTTTTTGCTAGAATTTTCAGTTCTTAAATGCAAACAATAAAACTGCTTTTTTACTTTCGCTTTTTTTAATCTGTGGCAACGGCTTCACCCATTTTAAATTTGCGATAAATACACTTTATACATAACCAGTGTCATGGTCGAACTTAAATTTCCGCATCACTAAATGTGATTTGATTACTTTTCGCTTAATTGACGTTTATACATTTCCATTCTCATTATATATTTTGTATTACAGCTGAAGCCGATTTCCGCCCATTGATGGACGACGCATTCTTAGTGAGGTTTCTGAGAGCGAAAAAATACAACGTACAGAAAGCCTTCAACACCCTTCGTAATTTTTATACATTTAAAGTGCGCTATTCCAAAGTGTTGACAGACTTCAAGCCATCCGAAGTTAAGACAGTTTTGGAAATGAACAACTTGCTCATAGTACCCAGGCGTTTACCGGATGGTACTGCTGTCGGGATTTTGCGAATGGGTAAGTAAACAAATAAACTTTATTTTTTTCAGTTTATAATAAAATATTTATCTCGGCAAAATTGCAGTGAGCTTTGTATAATGCTCCTATATTCAACATTGCCTCCAAATTTTACAGGCTTTTCTTGAAATTGGCATCATATTTTTAAAACGATTTCACTTTCGGGAACTACAGATTCCTGAAAGTCAATTAATTCATTAGTGAAAAAAAATAAGTATCTTAGTAGCTGTTGCTGTTGACTGACTAACAAATACTAAGATGATGCTGTTGACTACTAAGATGCTAAGTCGCACAACAGCAACAGCTACTAAAACTTAACATCTTAATAGCTGTTGCCGTTGACTGTCTAACAAATTAAACTAAGATGCTGTTGCTGTTGACTAAGATGCTAAGTCTTAGTGGCTGTTGCTGTTAAGACAACAGCAACAGCTACTAAGACTTAACATCCTAGTAGCTGTTGCGCTTATCTCAGTTGTCTGACTGTAACATCAGAACAAGCCCACGAAATTCCTCGTGGCAATGAGTGCAAGATTACTCCTGTCGTTGGCATGAGTCTTTAGCACCATACAAGTTACATTACGGCTTTGCTCAGTTCCGCCCCACACATTCTGATGGAGAGCATCTAAAGGGGGGTGGATGTGAGAGTCTACCACCCCTCTTTCCCTACAATAACCACGAAATCGTCCATGTAGCCAACCCGTTCGCTGGATTCGAACCTCAGACCGAACTCAGCGGTTTTACCACTAAAACGCCAACATCCTCTTGAGACTCTCTCATATCTATATCTATATATATATATCCTACATACGCACGTGTATATCACATACACGTAGACACAACACACTGATACATACATATGTATATATATATACACGATGTCCCGTAAATGTTGCGACAAACTTCTGGAGGAGGTAGGGCACATCATAAGGATTGAGAATTGCATAGGAACCCCATGGCCCCGAAACGTCATTGTAGCCGCCAGGAAGTGTTGTACAGGAGAGTGCTAGTGGAAAGTGAGAATTGCCTCATTCGAGCGGTAAGTATCATACGAAGAGAAGGAAACGGTGTACCAACGGAGAGCTTGCAGACATGCACTTAGTGCATGGAATGCATATTAGCTGAGGGTAATGAACGAACAGCTGTACGCATTTATCGAGAACGCTTTTCGACAGACATCAGCCACACCATAGTTTGTTTGCACGTCTGCATCAAAATTTTTACGGGTCATTAAGAAAGGGCAAAACAAGTGAGGGCAAGCCACGATCGACTCATTCGGTCGTGATAGGGAAGATAGTGTGTTGGATACAGTGGAGAGTAATCCAAGAACCAGCATACGTGCCATTGCGTCTCAATTAAGATTGTATCGTACCAGTGTCCAGCATGTCTTGAACGTCGGCTGATAGCGGTACTGGGCTTCACCTGGTCAGATGAATCATGATTTCTCATTCAGCATGTCTATGGTCGTGTCAGGGTAAGCCGACTTTCAGGCGAAAAATTGCTCTCTTGCCCTGTACAGCAAGTCATACACAGGCTGGTGTTGGCGGTATTATGCTTTGGGGCCCATTCTCATGGGCGTCTCTGGGGCCCTTAAATGTGTTAGAACAGACCATAAAAAGTACGGACTATCTGAATGTAATTGCGGAAAGTTGCACCCTTACATGGCGTCTGTCTTTCCAACTGGAAATGGAATGATCCAGTAGGATGACGCTCCGTGTCACAAAGCTCGAATTGTCTTGGTTCGAGGAGCATAAGTACGTAATCCAATTAATGTCCTGGCGACCTAACTCGTCGGACCGTAACTTGATAAAGTACATTTAGGATGTCATGGAGTGGCAGGTTAGGGCTCAAATACCACCATGTCGAATTTGTGTGACCGCTGCTTGCACAGTTGGTACAACTCGTCTCCAGTCATCTACCAAGAACTTGGGGGAAAAGCAAGTTCCAGCTGTTTTGCAGGCCGAAGGTCGCGCAACGAATTATTCAGCCAGGTGGTCATAATGCTTTGACTCTTCAGTGCATGTGAGTCACATGTATATGTATAATATATATATGTCACAGATTAAAATTCAGAAGCAATGACTAGCAAAAATTTGGATGGCGTAAAAGTGTTGATCCATAATGGAGGAAATTGGAGGCGAAGGCAGATTAAAGCTTCATTTTTATTTCAGCAAACATGCTGCGGTCACAAACAAGTTGGCACATTAATTGTGCTGATTCCAAAAGCTTACATTTTTAGATAATTTTGCAATAAGAAAGAAGAAGCAGACAGACAACAATCCAGCTAGGCCAAAGCGTAAAAAGCAAGTGCGTTATGTTCAGGGTTATTCAGACTGAGTTAGGTTTGGTTCTCAAAGCATTTTCATTGGATAGTTAATATTGCTGTAAAATTATTATTGGCTCCTTGACTTTGACGGCGGTTTGTGTTTTACAAATCTTGATACGAGTTTTAAACATTAAAGTAAAATAATAAGTAACAACTAATTTAATGATTAATCCTTAAATAATAAATAAAAATTATGCGAAAATTTCAAAATGCAATCGTAATTCAAAAATAAAACTAGTATTTGTTGCAGACAACTCGATGCGGCTCGTGAGCCACAGTTTCTCGAAGCCTGGTCTGTTGATATTGTCACAAAAAATTCACATTGCACAAAATTTATTATGCCTAGGTATAATTTATTATGGGAATTTGCATTATACGCCTAGGTATAATTATTTTCAATTTGACTAGCATAGGGCGATTAAATATGTAGCGCAACGAAATTTTTCTACATTTCTTATTTTATTCATTTACTTAGTCATCTTCCTTATTCTTATTTTATTCACAGGTGATTTTGATATGGATAAAGCTACCTCAGACGACTTTGTTGCGGCTTGCTTTGTGTGTACAGAGATTGGCATCGAGCCAGAAGCTACTCAAGTGTGCGGCGCTGTGCTAGTTTTTGACTGGAATAATTTTACTCTCCGTATGATTAAGCACTTCGCATCACCTACTCTTCTACTGCGAGTAGTACGACTTGTACAAGTAAGAAATGTTTCTGACTTTTTCCTATTCATAACACCAAATTTCAAATGTTGCCTTTAGTCTAGCACTAAATGTTGCTCTAAGTGTTGTGTCAAATGTTGCCTTTAGGCTAGCACTGAGAAAGATGTAAACATTTTAAATATTTTTTTTTCTTAAGTGTATCCTATTTAAATGAGAAATACAAATTTGAGCAAATTTTGTAAAGTTCGAATTAAACTTTTATAGAAGCTCGCATGAAAATTAGCGTGCCGTTTCTTTCAGTATTCGATTTCAGTCACTGTTCTGAAAAGAGTTTTCGTAAGAAAAGTTGATACGAATATCTGTTTTAATAAAACTCTTGGTTCAAGAAGAATGGTCTTACTAATTATGCTAAATTTGTACAAGCAGGTATATACTATATGAATGAAATGTAAAATCTCATACATTATCTGTGTTGTGAAGCCGGGGCAACAAGAATGAGACAAATTTTGGAATATAAAGTGATATGTTTATTTTAGAATCCATCTCACAAGCGTTCCTCCTCTACCTCGATGAGAAGCCCTATTTATAGATATGTGTGGGTCATGGTGCTCATCCAATCAGCGATATTAATTGAAATCACGAGGTGACGCTATCTTCTTATCAGGAGTGTTCTTAAGGACTTTATATAATATGACAGATTTATGAGTTTGGCGAGCCAAACTCATAAATCGCCAACAGGTTAATATAATTTATAATAAAGAAAGGATTTCACCAAAATTTAAGAACAGGGATGCAATTTAGGTAGAGAATCGCCCACACATTATTAAGCAATATAATTAGAATTTAATTTAATCAATTGATTTAAAAATATCATTACATGCATGTATATGCTATGGCTAGAACCATAAGAAGAAAAGATTTTCTGCTTAATTTTAAAACTACGAGTAATAGAAATGCAAAACCTATCTCGAGCACAGATGTTAATCAAACTATTAGCGGCCATGGAAGATTTCCCTGTTATTTTAATAGGTTTGGGCTTCAAGGTAATGATATATGTAAATTATGCGATGTGACTGGGGTTGCTCGTCATTTTGTTGAAGAGTGTGCTATCACTAGAGATACAGAAGGAACAGGCAAAGACTTTAAAACATTCAATTACAAAATTTATGCAGTGAAAAGGATTAACATTCAATTACAAAATTAAACATTCAATTACAAAATTTATGCAGTGAAAAGGAAATTTATGCAAAGAAAATTATAGCGAGAATAGGTCAAAATAGAGAGAAAATAGACATAATGTGTTAAGTTACATGTATGTTCGTGTTTGTTTTAGAGTTTTAAGTGTATCGCTATTTAGTTTAGTTGCTAGCGCTCTTCTCTTTTCTGATTTCCTTTATCTGTGTGTGAAATATCAAAAAATTAGAGGTCTATATATCATAAAACCAGATATAATAATAACCTTATGGTTGTATTTCATCATTTATATTTTGTTACATTTTCTAACCTTTTCTTTTAGCCCAAATGTGTGTTAGACCAAAAGGGCTATTATTCTAGAAACGGCATTTTGCGTCAGATCGCTTTAAATGTCGGAATTACTTTTCAAATTGTTGTCACCAAATATTATGGCTCTGTATCATATTTAAAGAAACTAAATAATGAAGAATCTACATGGATGTATGCACGTTCGTATGTATGTTTCTCGCATTGTGAAAAAACAACGGTACCCAGAGTCACCATATTTTGAATAACGTAATCATCCACCCGAACATGGGCACCTGGAAGGCCAAATTTGGAATATCGAATTTTTTTTCTATTTCATATTTTGTAAAACATTAGCTAATTTTTGATGGGAAAAATACTAAACAATTTCAAAGCAAGCAGCGGCAACACTGGTGGGAATAAAACCTTTTTATCTCGAGGGTGTGAGATTGGTTATCGGAAATTCTAAAGATATGCTGTTTTTAAATATTTTAGCACAATACGGCGTTAGCCCAAATGCTCTTAAAACGTGTATGTGTCGGTAAATAAATAAAAAAAAAACCCCGTTTGGGAGTAATATAAAATCTGAAAGCCTTCAGATTTTTTTAAAAAAAACTTTTTTAGTATATAATTTAAATGCTATCCTATCTTCTCTTTGAGTCCCTTTCCATTTGTTCAGACCATTACACAAGTTCAGATCAGAACGTTACGCAAATGTAAAAAGCGTGTCCAAGACAGTTTAAAGTACAGTAAATTTTAACTAAAATATAGTAAATTTTAACTGTAATTCATACTGTCAAAGATAAGAATCAGTCTTACTCTCATTTTGAAAATAATTAACGATTCTTGCATACATTTTGTTTTGTTGGGGCTGTTGGTTGTTGTTGTTTCTGACTTTTCCTGGCAAAGCCCATAAAAAGACAATTAGGACGACGTAAAATCTGGTAGGAGGATTGAGATGCGTCCGCTACATTACATCACCTATTATTATGAATATTTTAATTTAAAAAAATATTGTAAACCATTTAGAAGGAAGGATAAAAAATCCATGAAAGTGTGAGCTGCTAGTGGCCGGATGCTTCGATCTTCAAAGAGAACTTCATAATTAAAACCTTGAGAAGAATTCACGAAGTCGCATTGTACGGCTTTGGTAAAGAATTTTTCGTTCGATCTTTTGATATATTCTGGAATAGTCTCAAGTTTGAAGTCTCTGTGCAAAAGTTCATTTCGAATAAGATAGTGGGAATCAGTAATAATACGCAAAAATGCATTCTGTACGACTTGCAGTTGGTGTAGCTGATTTTGGGTAGCCGTATTCCATGCTGGAGCTGCATAGCGGAGTATTGGCCGAATGCAGGTGGTGTAGATGTGCCTCTTGGTAGGCAGGCCAAGATTAGAGTATTTTCTTATAATTGGGAGAAATCTGCACATGATAACTGTAATGTTCATGTTGTGATTAACAGCATAATCATTTTTAGAAAATAAAGGTAAAAAGGCTTACCTTTTAGTCGATCTTCTTTCTCGGTCCAAAGGCGTATCCAGGAATGTTTTAATTTATTACATTCATCAAAGGCACCTCACGCAAAAAGAGAGGCTTCTAAGATAATAATATATTTAATTTACAAATCACATCACTAAAATATATATACAACACAGAAGAGAAGGATTATATGTTTCACTCAAGCGTCCATCGCGAGTTCTAAAAGTTCAGTTATAGTTCTGTTTTAGTGTCCTTCTTCTTTTTTTTTTTTTTTTTTTTTTTTCTGCGCGCATGCGCAAATTACAATATTTGTCGGTGAGAGTTTCAACAATATCTATGGCGGGAGGTGACCTGGTTGAAATGCGAGAGAGCCCGATCCGTTTAGTCTTAAAAAGACCAAATGATCTTAGAAGAGACCTCCCTCTCCCAAACCAAAACGACGGCTGCCAGCGACCCGCGGTTCCTCCTTGAAACATGGCAGTTGCGGCAGACGACAAACTGGATATTATCGCCTAAAACCGGGTCACCTCAGCCAGAGCCCCGGGCAAAATAAAAAGTTAGAATAAAAAGAAAACAAGGAAACTCAAAATACAAACTATTACATACAGCAAGAGAACATTCATTCAGTAAAAGCTGTAAAACAACACAAAAGGATAGAAGTAGAAAATAATTCGCTAACCAAAAATAAGGGGGGGGGTTAATCAAAGATAAATAAATATAAGGAAAAAGCACAAATGCATCAAACCATTCAACAGAAACAAAAACATTCACACATAAACATCACGCAACAGACAAACACACGAACACACAGACAAGCACACAATCATCACAAACAGAAGAGCAAAAACAGAGAGGTAGAAAAACATGAACTAAGAACTCACACGCAGAACCGTCAAAGAAGGGCACGCTGAGGTCTACGAGACAGAGCAACGCCAATGTAAAACAACACCATAAGAATAGATCAACTATCACTAACCATGCCACGGAGGATCATTTCATTAATGGTCAGATTCGCCGAAGTCACTGAGACACTAGTTCTCAGTGACCAGTAAGATAGTGTATAATTAATAGTTTAGTTAATATTCCTGAAGTTCTGCTATGATTTAAAATTAAAATATATAAAACTCGATATTGAGTTTACTTCAACTATAAAATCAAATTCATCATTAAGTGATCGGAATTTAAAATTTAACTATATTCTCAAAATCCTAACTTATTAATCAATGGATGAGAGTCATCATTTATAAAACCAAAAACAGTAAATAAATGATCAAAATATTAAAAAATCTCTCTTGCACTGTGGTCATGGCTTTCAACCAGAAAATAATACGAGTTTAGCTAACAAGGTGCAAAGTTAAATTAAGTAGAAATATATAATTTCATATAGAATTTAAAAATTTTAAAGTTAAAATTTAAAAGCACAATAGGTGAAAGGCAAGTTAAATATAGATTCTCTTAATGGCAATATCGTAAGTACTTAAAGCAATATGTGTGATCATTTAAATTCCTTGGATAAATTAATGTTATCCTTTGCAGAAGTCACAAGGTGTCTCAATGAGCTATTCGATTAATAGTGAGTGTGAAATAAGCAGCACACACAAAACAATTCATACAATTTGTACAAAAATTATAAAATACATAACTCACAATACAAAATCTGTGACAGCAATTGTACAATATCATTCATTCATATTCCATTTAACATTCATATATGCGATATTCAATATATTTCAAAATCTACAAAGGCTAAAGAGCGGTCGTGTGTGACCGACAAAACAATCAGATTACTTTCCATTTAACATTACATACAATTATATAAACATGAGGCTAAAGTCTCTTAAGCAGTTAAACAAGATTTCTCTTACAATTATAGGTTATCACTTGTCGCAATGCCTAAATTACAAAAGTTGTACAAAATGCGCATTGCATATAAGCAACACATGACATGTCACAGAGCACATATCAACAGTTTTTCATAGATTTATATTTGATAGAAATTCAATAGATATGCCGATTACCAAGAAACAATTGCTGCAAACCTTGAGGATCACATCATATTAGGCATATTGCACATAAATTTGAAAGTACAGAATGACAGGAAACTACAAACACAATTACATATGTCTATATCACATATTAAAAGACACTTAATATATCATTTAAAATCATATTAGATCATAATTGACAGTTCTTTACTGTCAGC